TCACTGCAACCTCCACCTCCCAGGTTCAAGCAATTCTCCTGTCTCAGCCTCCTAAGTAGCTGGGATTACAAGCACATGCCACCATCCCCAGGTAATTTTTATATTTTAGTAGAGACAGGTTTTCACCGTATTGATCAGGCTGGTCTCGAACTCCTGACCTCAGGTGATCCACCTGCCTCTGCCTCCCAAAATGCTGGGATTACAGGCATGAGCCACTGCACCTGACCAAGTCCTCTGACTTTATTTTATTTCATTTTATTTTTTGAGACGAAGTCTCGCTCTGTCACCAGGCTGCAGTGCAGTGGTGCAATCTCAGCTTACTGCAACCTCCACCTCCAGGGTTCAAGCAATTCTCCTGCCTCAGCCTCCCAAGTAGCTGGGACTACAGGTGTGTGTCACCACGCCTGGCTAATTTTTGTATTTTAGTAGAGACAGGGTTTTACCATATTGATGGAGCTGGTCTCAAACTCCTCACCTCAGGTGATCCATGCACCTCAGCCTCCCAAAGTGTTGGGATTACGGGTGTGAGCCACCGCGCCTGACCAAGTGCTTTGACTTTAAAGCATCTACTATGTGCTGAGGAGCATGAGACTTGGGGTCATTCAGGCCTGGAGGTCACTGGCTACCTTCTTTCGCTGCCTGACTATAGGTAAGTCCCTTATCTTGGAGCCTCAGGGAGGTGGGGGTGTGGGGCAGCCAGGCTCTGATGAGTGGCAGCTCAAGCTGGCCCTTTTGATATTGAGAGGAGTCCAGAGATGTCACCATCCTGGGACTCCGGCTGCAAGGGAGGCAGCCGGACAGACCTGAGCCAAGTCCCGGCTTCTCCCTGGGTGAGCAACTCAGTTTCCTCATCTGTAAATTGGGCATATTCAAAGCACCGGCACACAGTAGGTGGTCAGTAAACCTACTGGCAGGATGCTGGGGGAGCGTCCCCATTCTGTGGGGCCTCTCTCAGTGGAACTGAGGTACCAAGAGGGAAAGTCATTTGTCCCCGTTGTGCAGTGGTGGGGCTGGGACTCAAACCCTAGATATTTGACCTGGGAGCCTATTTGCTCAATCATTGGGAGACACCGTCTCCTGGTGGAGTGTCTACTCATAAGTGTCAGGTGGCAGGATCCCAACTCCAGGCCTTCCTTCTAACCCAAGAGGTCCTGCCTCTGTCTAGAGCCTTCCATGGCTCCCCAGCGTCCTCTATGATCGGCCCAGCGCACTCACCAGGCTCATCTCAGACCAGATGGCCTGCTTTCACTTCCCCAAATCAGGATCTGAATGCCTCCAGATTCTGTCCACACTGTGGTCCCCACCCCACCACCGCCCACCACCTCCCTTCTCTGGCTGCGACCTCTTCCTGGTCATCCCTTGAGGCTCAGCCCAAGGGTGCTTCGATCTCCGCTTCCCGGGGCCACCCCAACACACACAGATACGTACTCACGAAGCGGAGTTTGGAGCCTGTGTCTGTCCTCCCACTGCGTTGGGGTCGACCAGAGAGATTGGCAGGGACCGTCAGGGACAGAGGTTTAAGCAGGAAGAGACACTTTCTTCAGAAAGCAGACCAGCTGACAGTCGCTATTTTCATAGACCTAAATATGGGCTTGCCACCCGGATAACGTTACACGCATGGCCTCTCCTGGCATTCCCCACGCCCCAGTGAAGTCCATGCTATTATTACCTCCACTTCTCAGGTAAGAGAATTGGGTGAGAACCAGAGATCCTAAGAAGGAAGTTCCCACAGGGCTGAAGGAGGTGCACGGCAGCGTTAAGATTTGAACCAGGGGTATCGCAGACTGAATCATTATGCCACTAGGGCAGATCGCATAGGGCCCTGGGGAGCCATGGGACGCTCTAGGCAGAGGTGGGACCTCTTGGATTAGAAGGACGGCCTGGAGTTGGGATCCCGCCACCCGACACTTACCAGCAGATGCTCCACTATGAGATTATGTCTCTAGATGATTGAGCAAATAGGCTCCCAGTTCAAATGTCCCAGGTTTGAGTACCAGCAAGAAGAAAGGGAAGAGGAAAGAGAGGCAGAGGAAGGGAAGAAAAAGACAGGAAGAAAGAGGGGAAGAAGGAGGAACAGGAGGGAAGGAGGGAAAGAGGAAAAAGAAAGATACGTGAGATAGCATTCAGTCAAATGTGGACAATTGTGGCCGGGTGTGGTGGCTCATGCCTGTAATCCCAGCACTTTGGGAGGCTGAGGTGGGAGGATCAGTTGAGCCTAGGAGTTCAAGACCAGCATGGGCAGCATAGCAAGCTGTCGTCTCTACAAAAAAATATATAAAAATTAGCAGGCATGGTGGTGCATGTCTGTGGTCCCAGCTACTGGGGAGGCGGAGGTGGGAGAATCACTTGAGCCCAGGAGCTCAAGATCAGCCTGGGCAACACAGTGAGACCCCATCTCAAAAAAAGAAAGAGAGGGAAGGAAGGAAGGAAGGAAGGAAGGAAGGAAGGAAGGAAGGAAGGAGGAAGAGAGGGGAAGGAGGGGAGGAAGGGAAGGAAGAAAGGAAAGAAAAGAAAGAAGAGAGGAAGAGTGGGAAGGGAGGGAAGGAAGGAAAGAAAAGAAAGAGAAAATGAGGAAGGAAGGGAGGGAGGGAGGGAGGGAGGGAGGAAGGAAAGACAAGACTAGACCAAACTCCATCCCAGCTCCATCCTGGAACTAGAATTCACCCCCGTGTTCCCAAGCTTCCTCCTCCTCCTCCTCCTGTGTCCCCATTGCTGGGACAGTCCGTCCGTCCACCCAGACACCCCACCAGGCCCAGGCCTTGTCCAAGCACCTCCTGATCCTCCACCCCACCCTTCACCCAGCACCGAGGCCTGGCTCTTCCTAAAAATATATCCTGCTTCTCCTCATCCTCACAGCCGCTGCCCCTGGCTACTCCCCAACCCCCCGGACCAGATGACACCTCCTCTTAGGTCCCCCTGCCTGGCCTGCCTTGTCCCTGGAGCAGCCTCCTCCCGGACCTCCCCACTCCCATTCCACCCCCATGACAGCCCCACCTCCTGTCTTGCCCCCCAGACAGACTCTCCAGGGTCCTCACTTCCACCTGGCCTCCACGGCAGACCCCCCGGGGGGTCCCCAACCCCACCTACTCCCAAGACAAATCCCCCAGTGACCCCACCTGGCTTGGCCTCAAATGCTGTCGTATGTCCACCCAGCAGCCCCCAGTGACCTCTCCAGTACTCACTGGCCAATTCTTTGCTTTTCTTTTTTTTTCTTTGAGACAGAGCCTTGCTGTGTCTCCCAGGCTGGAGTGCAGTGGCGCGATCTCGGCTCACTATAACCTTGCCTTCCTGATTCAAGTGATTCTCTTGCCTCAGCCTCCCAAGTGCTTGGGATTACACGAATGCACCACCACGCCCACTAATCTTTTGTATTATTAGTAGCGATGGGGTTTTGCCAAGTTGTTCAGGCTGGTCTCGAACTCCTGGTCTCAGATGAGCCACTCGCCTCAGCCTCCCAAGCTGCTGGGATTACAGGCGTGAGCCACCACGCCTGGGGTCTCCCTCCCTTCTTTACCATCTTAATTCTTGGCCAGATCAAGGTGGAGGGGACATTTGGGGCTCAAAATGAACAGCCTCAGACCACCAGGGTCACTCAACAGGCATGCACCAAGGGCCACTGGGTCCAGGGTGACAGACAAGGCAGCATGGTCCCAGCTGTTCTGGAGGGCAGGGTCCTGGGGACATTCCAGCCAGGCCCCTCCCTGACACGGCAGGGACATTCAGCCCCAGTGGATGGCCAGCCCAGCCGTCCCCCCGGTTGCGAGGTGAGTTGCAGGGGCACAGGTGGGCGTCTTCTGGAGTGAGAGAAGAAAGCCCTTCTCTGTTTCTTCCCTGAATGGCAACCACCTGCCCATGTCTTCTCTCTGCCTACAACCGTCCATGGCTCCCTTCTGCCCTGGACATGGGAGGTGGCCCACCCAGGAGTGGGGATTTAGAGTTCCCAGTTGAGAGTGAGGAGGGGGTAAAGGATCAGGGAACACATTTTGGAGAGGATAAGGAGGGTGGGCAAAGTGCCAAGGGGTCTTAGTAAATAGAAGGCTAGGTGGCATAGTGGCCAGGGCTGCAGATGCCTGACACACACTACCTGGGTTCAAATTCCTGGCTCTGCCATTGAAGTGCTGTGTGACCTTTGGCAAGTTACTTAACCTCTCTGTGCTTCACATAAAGCAGCACAGATCACCAAAGCTTCAAATTCCTAGGGTGGTCGTGGAAATAAGATGTTTAATATGCACATGAGACACTAAGAACTGTGCCCGGCCAGGCGTGGTGGCTCACGCCTGTAATCATAACACTTTGGGAGGCTGAGGTGAGTGCATTACCTGAGGAGTTTGAGACCAGCCTGGCCAGCACGTTGAAACCTCGTCTCTACCAAAAAATACAAAAATTATCCAGGAGTGGTGGCGGGCACCTGTAATCACAGTTACTCAACCAGGAGGTTGAGGCAGGAGAATTGCTTGAACCCGGGAGGCGGAGGTTGCAGTGAGCTAAGATCGCACCACGGCACTGCAGCTTGGGTGACAGAGTGAGACCCTGTCTCAACAAACAAACAAACAAACAATCCCAGTGCCCAGCATCTATTGCTGCTAAGTTAAACTATAGAACAAAGTCATCTATATATTTTTAGAGACAGGGTCTCACTGTCTCCCAGGCTGGAGTGCAGTGGTGTGATCACGACTCACTGCAGCCTCAGCCTCCTGAGGTTCAAGAAATCCCCCTAGCTTCAACTCCTGAGCAGCTGGGACCACAGGCACGCACCACCATGCCTGGTTAATTTTTAAAATTTTTTGTAGTGATAGGGTCTCACTATGTTGCCCAGGCTGGTCTCGAACTCCTGGGCTCAAGCAATCTTCCTGCCTCAGCCTCCCAACGCAGGGGTTACAGGCATAAGCCACTGTCCCAGCTGGAGTTTGGTGTTTCTGAGCTCTACAAGCGCAGGAGCCCCAGCCCAGCCCCACCCCACCCCCACTCCCGCCCCCTCCCCTGGCTCCACCTTCCCGGTGCGAAAGCCCCCTGCCTGCAGCTCAAACACTAGAATGCTCTGGGGCCCCAGGGACCCAGTCACGGGACTGCCCCACCTGCGTCCCCTCTGCGGTGTCAACACACCTCCTGGTCACTTCAGGCAAAAAACAGAAAGCTGTGCGGATGTGGGCCCCAGATCTGTGGGTGTTGGTTCTTCTTTCAGATTTGGGATCCTCTGCGCGTTGGGGGAGCGGCGTCTCTCTCCTCGTTTGACCTAGATCAGGACTCAAATGGAAGGAGTTTGGGGTATCCAGCAATGACGACCCTAAACCATCCCCAGCAGAGTTCTCATCCCAGCAGCCGCCCCCGCCCCCCGACCAGCTCCAGCTCAGCTACAACTCAATCCCCTCACCCCACGATGCTCTGATCCCAGCTCTAACCTTTGCTTGGCACAGGACTAAGGCATGTCCCAGGCTCTAATCACGGAACCTCCATACTGGGGACAGGACCTGGCTCCGTGTCCCAACGGGACACGGAGCCAGGCAACCCTGACCCTAACACCATCCCGACGCAGCCCTGGGCTCCTCTACCTGTTTAACCTCTCCTGAGGTTACGAGGGGGAGAAGGAAAGGGTGTGGAGTTGGGGAGGAAGGGCAGGAGGTGTGTCAAATCCAGAGGGGCTTCCAGGAGGAGGTGTGTTTAAAGCTGGATTCCTCCCACACTGCACTGTTGACTTTGGGGCTGATGATTCCTTGCTGGGATGCCGTCCTGTGCATTGTTCGATGTTTAGAAGCATCTCTGGTCACTTGTAGCCAAGAGTCATCACGGCTGAGAAGGACTGCTTTGAAAACATGATTCCTAGATCATGCTTTGGTTTGTTTACATTGTGGCAAAATATGCATAACATAAAATCTACCATCGTAACCGTTTGAGACAGAGTCTTGCTCTGTCACCAGGCTGGAGTGCAATGGCTTGATCTTGGCTTACCGCAACCTCCACCTCCCAGGTTCAAGCGATTCTCCTGCCTTAGCCTCCTGAGTAGCTGGGATTGCAGGTGTTTGCCACCAGACCTGGCTAACTTTTTATATTTTAGTAGAGACGGGGTTTCACCACGTTGGCCATGATGGTCTCGATCTCCTGACCTTGTGATCCGCCCGCCTCGGCCTCCCAAAGTGCTGGGATTATAGGTGTGAGCCACCGCACGCAGCTGGAATTTGGAGTTTTTGAGCTCTACAAGCTCTGCAAGCCCAGGTGCCCCTCCTGGGACTGGGGCCCCCAGAGGCAAAACCTGTGCTCCTCTCCTAGCAGGGCCAGGAGGGCAGCCTGGAGTCACAGTCACACACACCCCTCTCCCTCCCCTTCCCGACCCTCACTAAGGCAGAGAGCCCACCAACAGGAAGAGGAAAGGGGTATGTGGGGTGAGAAGAGCCTGGAGCTGCACTTCTGCATTCCTGGAACCTTGGGATCTGGAGCCCAGCTGTCTTGTTGGTGTGGATTGTAGCAGTGAGGCGGGGAGAGCTTGCGGGGACTGGTATGTGTGGCCAGGAGTCCTCAGGATGAGAAGGGACACAGAGATGGGCCTGTCTGCACCCTTCCCTCCAGATGGCCCCCCGGAACTCCAGGAGGGGGGTCCTGGATCCCCCTGCTCGTTGCCTCCCTGTCCCCTCCCCTCAAGGCCCCAGGATACTTCCAGGGACCAGAGAGCTGAGCCAGCAGGTCCTGGGACTCCAGAGAGCAGCCCAGGCAGAGCCTGGGAGATTTGGGGATTTCTCTCCAAATGCCCTCAAAGACCCCGAAATCCTGGACTCCAGGCTCTACCCTCACAGACCCAGGCCTTCACCTTCCTGGAGACCTAGGAAGCCAGGCCCCCAGACCCCATCCTCAGGGATCCAGGCTTAGTCTCTTAAAGACCCAGGAAGCCAAGACCCCAGACCCCACCCTCAGGGACTCAGGCTTAGTCTCTTAAAGACCCAGGAAGCCAGGCCCCCAGACCCCACCCTCAGAGACCCAGGCTTAGTCTCTTAAAGACCCAGGAAGCCAGGTCCCCAGACCCCACCCTCAGGGACCCAGGCTTAGTCTCTTAAAGACCCAGGCAGCCAGGCCCCCAGACCCCTAGGAATTTGGTATGAGATCTCGTGTTTTTCTCCTCCATCCCTGCTGTTCTCGTGCCAGTTTCTGGGTCTGCCAGGACAGTGTGTTGCAGGGGGGTGCTGCCTCTTTGCTGGACGCACCTGGTCACTGTCCCCACTGGGTAAACCCTGATGTGGGTGAGTAAAGGCTGTGGGGGCCCAGGCCAGCTGCACCTGCTTACCTGCTATGTGACTTAATCCTCTCTGGGCCTCAGTTTCCTCATCTGTAAAATGGGGATAAACACAGTTCTCTCACATAGGTTGCTGTGTGCATAAAGCCTTCAGCCCAATGCCAGATATGGGGAGGCTCTCAATACACAGGAGCATTTTTAGTACATTTTCCTGAAAAACGTCTCTCCCATAATTAACCAGCCCCCAACCCGGCAGCCTACAAGGCTGTGTGTGGCTGACACCTTCCCCTCTCCATTGCCTCCTCTGTACGCCCCTCCAGTGGCAATGGCCTGCCTTTCTGTTTCATTTTTGGAGAGATGGTCTTGCTCTGTTGCCCAGGCTGGAGTGCAGTAGTATGATCATGGCTCACCGCAGCTTCAACCTCCTGGGCTCAGGTGATCCTCCCACCTCAGCCTCCTGAGTAGCTTGGTCTACAGGCATGTGCCACCACACCTAGCTAATTTTATTTTATTTTTAATTAATTAATTAATTGTTTAAAATGGAGTCTCACTCTGTCACCCAGGCTGGAGTGCAGTGGTGCGATTTCGGCTCACTACAATCTCCTCTTCCCAGGTTCAAGCGATTCTCCTGCCTCAGCCTCCCGAGTAGCTGGGATTACAGATGCATGCCACCATGCCTGGCTAATTTTTTGTATTTTCAGTAGAGACAGGGTTTGGCCAGGCTGGTCTCGAACTCCTGAGCTCCGGAACTCTGCCCCCCTCAGCCTCCCAAAGTGCTGGGATTACAGGCATGAGCCACCAGGTCCTGCTCCTTCTTCACTTTCACAGCCAGAAGCACAGCCTCTTCCAATCTCTCTCTGACTCTCATCCTCCTGCCTCTTCTTGTAAGGACTCTGATGACATGGGGCCACCTGGAGAATCCAGGGCGATCTCCCATCTCAAGACCCTTAATGTAATTCTACCTTCAGACCCCCTTTGCCATAGAAGGTGACCTGTTCACCGGTTCCAGGGATTAGGATGTGGACATCTTTGGGGAGCTGTTATTCGGCTGACCACAATACCCTAAGAGACAGATGCTGTTATTATTATTTTATGTTTGAGAGGAGTGTCACCCTGTTGCACAGGCTGGACTGCGGTGGCGTGATCTCGGCTCACTGCAGCCTCCTCGTCTCAGGTTCAAGTGATTCTTGTGCCTCAGCCTTCCCAGTAGCTGAGACTACAGGTGCGCACCACCACGCCTGGCTAATTTTTGTATTTTTAGTAGAGACGGGGTTTCACCATGTTGGCCAGGATGGTCTCGATCTCTTGACCTCGTGATCCACCCACCTCGGCCTCCCAAAGTGCTGGGATTACAGGCATGAGCCACCTCGCCCGGCTTATTATTTTTAAGAGGAGTCTTGCTCTGTTGCCCAGGCTGGAGTGTAGTGGCGTGATGTCGGCTCACTGCAGCCTCCTTGTCCCAGGTTCAAGCAATTCTCGTGCCTCCGCCTTTCCAGGAGCTGGGACTACAGGCGTGCACCACCATGCTCGGCTAATTTTTGTAATTTTTAGTGGAGATGGGGTTTCCCTATGTTGGCCAAGCTGGTGTTGAACTCCTGGCCTTAAATAATCCACCTGCCTGGGCCTCCCAAAGTGCTGGCGTTACAGGAGTGAGCTACCGTGCCCGCCAAAACTCTGGGTGTTTTCTTGGTGTCTGCTACATTCATCCTTCTGAGCTGCGTCTGGCTCTGGGGATAGAAAGAAAAGAGACAGGAAAGGTAAGAATCCTCATGGGGTTTTGGGGGACAGACCTGTCGAGGAGACTGCCTGCCCTCTTTGGAGAGCCCCCTGGGGACTTCCCCACACTCCCCAGCCTTCCTAGGAAGAAGCCCTCGGGATCTGAGGGGGTTTCCTGGGATTGGGGGAGAGGGGTGGGAGGCTGATAAGAACAGACTACTCTGTCTCAAAGACATGTCCTTGGAAAGTGGGGACACCATGGGGCTGCTCTACCCAGGAAACCCTAGCTGGGTTCCAAGATCACCAGCAATTTGCTGACTGAGTCCCAGAGAGAGTTGCCCTGGGGTCACTCAGGGGGCTATTGGTGGGGACGCCCCCTAAAAAGAATCAGGGAGCGTCTGAGAGGTGCCCCTGTCTGCCTCCATGCCCTGCTTCCCAGCACAAGCCACCTTTGGAATCTCCGAGGCAGACCCTACTTTCTTTCCCTGGACCCCATTCCCCATGCTGGAACTGCAGTGGAAGGGGCATTGCTTTTCTTTTTTTTTTGGGACGGAGTTTCACTCTTGTTACCCAGGCTGGAGTGCAATGGCGCGATCTCGGCTCACCGCAACCTCCGCCTCCTGGGTTCAGGCAATTCTCCTGCCTCAGCCTCCTGAGT